CACCTATAGCTCCAGGCCGCCAAGATGTATGGAATAAAAGAGGTGGGCTAGACACAAGATGTATGGAGTAAAAGAGGTGGGCCAGACAGAGCAGACTGCGCGCGATGACGTCAGCAGGTGGCCGCGCTCACCGCGCTCCCGGAAATGGGATTTTTACCTTTCTGATCAGAATTCAAAGTACTACAACATACTTAATTTTTTAATAAAATCGTTCGGGCCATTTTCAAAAAATCCGATTTTCTGTTATTTTATGGGGTTTTATGGGAAAATCCCCATTAAAAATCCAAATTTCTAAAAAGTAAAAAAAACTTTCATTATTATAAGAATCATAACATACTGCGTTAAAATATAACCAGTTTTTTTTCTAAAATCCTATTTTTCGTTATTTTATGGAGTTTTATGGGAAAATAACATAATTCACAATAACTTTTGAACCGTAATTTTTACAGAAATGGGAGTCATGCCATTTTGTTCAGAATAAAAGGGCTACAACATAATACGTTTTTATAAAAATCGTAGTTTTTTACTTATTTCCCCCCCTATAGAATAGCTAAACATGCGAAATGGAAACGTTGCACAAAAAGACACCAGAAAATTATGACAATTTGTCAAGTTCATAAAACAAAATGGCGGCCGTTAAAAGTTTTGTTTCTTAAATAACTCAAAAAACGGTTGGTTTTGGGCCTAAAACTTACTATTACTTTTTTAAGACAATTTCATTACAAATCGATTGACATCTTATTTTTAAGATTGGAATAAAAATATTAACTTAGATATGGCAGTTTCAGTGATACATGACCGCTGGAGGTCAGGGCTGGAGATATACAGCGTGACTTTTAAATGAGTTCCCCCCCTTCTTTTTTCTACATTTCTTAAGATATCAACTTCGGACCACGTCAGATCATTGTAGTGTAGTAAGTACTTGATTTTGACTGAATAAACATTTTTGGCCGCCATCTTGGATCCGCCATATTGGATACAAAAATTTTTTTTAAAATATAAAGGTAGGGTTGTGACCCATTGTTTCAAACTAGAATTTTACGCTGATTACAATGCCGCAATTAGTTTTAAAAAATCTTGATCCGTTCTAAAGTTATGAGGACTTTTTATAACTTTATTTTTAGCCCATTTTAACATTGTGCATTTACAAACTAAGACCATAATCTCAAAATAGTGCTTGATAAAGATAAGTATACAACACCATTCATTGTTGACCTATTATCACTTGGTTATGACGGATGTATTTTTTTGGCCGCCATCTTGGATCTGCCATTTTGAAATGTGATAAATTAATTTAAATATGAAGGTGGTATTGTGACCCATCATTTCAGACTACTTTTTTATGCTGAATTTAATGCCGCAATCCGTTTTGCATTTTCATATTTGTTTTTTGAAATATTGGAAATTTAAGTAAGATAATTTTAATATTTCATCAAGAAAGCCTGAGAAACAAAAACGGATTGCGGCATTGAGTTCAGCATAAAAAAGTAGTTCAAAATAATGGGTCACAACACCACCTTCATATTTAAATTAATTTATTACATCTCAAAATGACAGATCCAAGATGGCGGCCGAAAAAATAATCCGTCATAACCAAGTGATAATAGGTCGACAATGAATGGTGGTGTATACTTATCTTTATCTAACACTATTTTGAGATTATGGTCTTAGTTTGTAAATGCACAATGTTAAAATGGGCTAAAAATAAAGTTATAAAAAGTCCTCATAACTTTAGAACGGATCAAGATTTTTTTAAACTAATTGCGGCATTGTAATCAGCGTAAAATTCTAGTTTAAAACAATGGGTCACAACCCTACCTTTACATTTGAAAAACAAAATGTATCCAATATGACGGATCCAAGATGGCGGCCAAAAATGTTTATCCATTCAAAATGAAGTACTTACTACACTACAATGATCTAACGTGGTCCGAAGTTCATATCTTAAGAAATGTAGAAAAAATTAGGGGGGAACTCATTTAAAATTCACCCCTGGCTGGAGGTTAGTTGCAGCGCATGCTCGAAGCGGTCATGTCACTAAAGGTTCAGTATATCAGTTAATAATCGTTCAATGTTACAAAAAAAGGTGTAAATCGATTTTTAGCAAAATTTCCTTTAAAAAGTTATTGTAATTTTTTCATTCAATGTTTTTTTTAGTTATTTAAGAAACACAATTTTAATTGGCCGCCATTTTGTTTTATGAAATTTAAAAATTGTAATTATCTTTTGGTTGCTTTGTCTTGTGGTCATAAATGTTTGTGCAAGGTTTCAATTTCGTATGTTTAACCATTCTTAAAAAATATGAATAAACGAAAAAAAAATGGTGGCTTTGTGAGTAGCTGAGGACATCCTGACGATTTAAATGTGATATTGATATGTTTATTACTCATTAAAAATGCCCTAAAATGTTGGTAGAGAGTTCCCGGACAACCAGTATATAATTAATTTAGAATTAGTCCTAACCTGATTCATCTCACGTGTAGGCAGTGGTGCACCAATGGGAGGGGGGTGGGAGAAAAAAATCCCCTCCGACATATTTTATATTTAATTATCTAACATAAATACTATTAGCTAGAATATATTGTAGAGCTAAAATACTATAAAGTACGTCTTTAAACTTTCAATTTTACATTTTCAGCCCTTGACCACCCTTTTTTTCTAGAGGACATTTTCATCCACACCCCCCCCCCCTCCCCGGTGATAATATCCCAACAAAATGAAACCATGGGACCACCACTGTGTGTAGGCAATAAGTGAGTGTGTGTCGCCGGCGACAGTACTGATTCCAAACCAAACGGCGCCCGGCGCCACTGACTGACTGTCTGCCAAGACGCAAGAGTTTTTCCACTTCAAATGCCGTGGCGTGGAGTTAAATATATGACCGTATTGTGAATTCGGCTACATGACAAATCGAAAAGAAGATACCGACATAGTTCAGACGTAACAATTACTGTGGTTCAAATGATAACAATTGAGACAGTCAAGGTACAATTTATGCATAGGCCTAACGAAAAAAATATTAAACGCTCTAAATCTATAGACATACAACTATGTTAGGCTAGGACCTTGATTTAACTACATAGTGATTAACATACTTGACTTACCTAGATCATCAAAACTTCAATGTAAAACACACGAAAAAATACAATCGTGAAAATGACTGGTTATAGAAGCTTCAGACGTAATGTCGCCTACAGTATATAGAACACTACTGCTGCAGTGGAGATTCTAGGAACATTTTGAGTTAGTTCCCTTGACTCCACACAGATCGCAGCACTTGCTTGGTCGTAAGATCTTTCACTTCTCTCTTGGAGGAAAGACAAAGTGGTGGCTACAAGTGCGTAGGTAACTGTTTTAAGTTACCTAAAATGTAACTTAAGTAAGTACATTTTAGTAAGTAAGTAGTAAGTAAGTAAGTTACCTAAAACATATTACTACTGGGGAGGGGGGCTAACTTCCGTGAAGTTGGCCCCCCCACAGTTTTTTGGTTATAGCTCCTGAACCGTAAGAGCACTAACGATGGGAGTTGAAGCACTAACCAGCACTAACGAAGCACTAACCGTTGGTACAGTTTTAAAAGTTAGTGCTCTCATATTACTACTGGGGGGGGCTAACTTCCGTGAAGTTGCCCCCCCCACAGTTTTTCGGTTATAGCTCCTGAACCGTAAGAGCACTAACGATGGGAGTTGAAGCACTAACCAGCACTAACGAAGCACTAACCATTAATACTAGTTTAATTGTTAGTGCTTTTATGGGGGGGGCCAACTTCCGTGAAGTTGGCCCCCCCCACAGTTTTTCGGTTATAGCTCCTGAACCGCAAGAGCACTAACGACGGGAGTTGAAGCACTAACCAGCACTAACGAAGCACTAACCGTTGGTACAGTTTTAAAAGTTAGTGCTCACATATTACTACTGGGGGGGGCTAACTTCCGTGAAGTTGGCCCCCCCCACAGTTTTTCGGTTATAGCTCCTGAACCGTAAGAGCACTAACGATGGGAGTTGAAGCACTAACCAGCACTAACGAAGCACTAACCGTTGGTACAGTTTTAAAAGTTAGTGCTCACATATTACTACTGGGGGGGGCTAACTTCCGTGAAGTTGGCCCCCCCCACAGTTTTTCGGTTATAGCTCCTGAACCGTAAGAGCACTAACGATGGGAGTTGAAGCACTAACCAGCACTAACGAAGCACTAACCATTAATACTAGTTTAATTGTTAGTGCTTTTATGGGGGGGGCTAACTTCACGGACCTCTTTACTCCATACATCTTGAGTGTACACTATCGCTTTCGTCTTAGTTCGCCTACATTCGGCGATAGTGTACTGCAGGCGAGTTGAACCTCCAAGTGAGAAGGAGGAATGAGGAAGGAGATCGACGAAAAAAAATCGTCCTGTATATTTCTATTCTGTCCTGTTCTGTGCAGTTACCAGTTACTTTTGAAGGAAGTTGGCGAAGTTACTTTGTTCACTTTGTTGCTTTGTTTTGTTATTGTTTACGATCAAAGTAAAGTTCAGTTTAGTTGGGTCACTGAGCTAAAATTATAACTGGAGGTAGCACTGCCATGGCAGAAGTCTGTCAAAAGCGAGTCGCTGATTTTGTTAGGTTGGTATAGCAGTAAGTTTTCTTACCATAGCAATAACATGGATTCTTATAACTAGGTTGGTATAGCAGTGAGTATTTTTGTCATACTTGAATACTTTTAATACTTTAATAATATTCTTTGAAATGGCGACCATACAAAGTAGGTATTTTAAGCTAAGTATAATAATAGCCATAGCAATAATATGGCTTCTTATAACTCACACCTCACGCAAACATGGCGGCTGGCGACACGCATCTTTGACATTCAGTGCTACCTCCAGTTAGAATTATAGCTCAGTGAGTTGGGTTGACTAGGAAAACTTAACCTTAAATACGGGTGAGTAATATTTATGTACTTGTATTTCTCTCATGAAGGAGAATTAAGTATCTTATCTTGTATACCGTACTTGTGATGATTCCACTAGCCTAGCTTAGCTACGGTAGTAACTTTCCAGCCGTGGTCGTTGAAGGTATTTAATTTTCAGGTATCTTCTCTTAATCCTCCAAAAATTCTCCCAATTTGTATTTTAGGCCTTTTCTATTAAGTAATTTTTTAGGGCTGCACTTAAGTCTAACGTCCTACACTCATTCGAATGAAAAATATCGATATATAACTTATAGGACAACAATCGATATATTCAATAAAATAAGCCTATCATTAAAAAATAAGCCTATAATTCGGTTAGTTAAGTTAGGTTAGGTTTTAACCTAACTAAGGAACAAACTTGATATACTTATAGATTGAAATAATCGATAACTTATTCATTCCCAGATGAGTGTAGGATGTAAAATAAAGTGCAGCATTTTTGAGTCTTTTCCTGAATAAGTTTTTGTCTTGGCAGCTTTTTATGTCTTCTGGCAGTTTACTAAATATTTTACTTGAGGGATGTCCAGCTATTACCAATCATGTTCGGTGACAATTCAAGTGTATATGGTGTTGTTGCCTGGTGTTATAATTATGTACTTCGTGGCTGCGTTTGAAGACTTCCGAAAATTTCCATATTATCATACCTGATTCCAATATATAAACGGAGGTATGGGTGGGAACGGGTACAGTTTCTTAACTGGGCTATGCTAATACCAATTGAAACTATCGAATTGAAATTATTGATTAACACTCGATATTTTTAAATATAGGTAGGCCTATCTACTATAAAATTTAACTAAACATAACCTAACCTAACCAACCAAACTTGCTGATGGTGAAAAAATCGCATGAAAGTTTACTAATTAATCAAATCGATAGTTTCAATCGATATTAGCACCTAGCCCAGTTAAGAAACTGTACCCGTGGGAACTTTAAGATTAATGAAAAGTAACCTGCAATGCTATAAAAATGGGTTTTAGACTATATTAGGCCATATTATTCTAATAAGTTAAGTAATTCTCTTTTGTAGTAGTAAGACTCCGTTTGCTTCACTGCTGTTGCCCCAAAGTACGATGCCACAACTCAATTCGATATGATAGCAGCCATAATAAACTTTAATAAGGATATGATGATCCACTATATTTTGCAGTCTGCACATAAAGGTACGTTGTCACTGGTGCGGCTGGAACTGCAGTCGTTGGACGACAGCCGTTCAACGATAATCGTAGAGCGCCTGCTTAGCATTGTTATCACTAGCACCGTTGTCACTGACGCGACTGTAGCCACAGTCGTATCGTAGTCGTGGACGTCTATTGTACGGGTCTGCTCCTGGAGCAGCCAGAGTCGCAGTCGTTGGACGATTTTTGAGGCATTCATAGCTTTTTCTCAAGTAGAGCCCCGTGTTTACTCAGCCCCAATGTTATTCTTATGGAGAATAATTAAAGTGTTATGTAGGCCTATCGCTTAGTTGTTAATGCATTTTATGATACTTGGTTAGTGGAAATGTGGTATGTGGTAGTAAGACACACATAAATGCAATGGAAACGGGGGTATTTTCTCTTCAAATCAATTTTGTTTTCTGAAAAAAAACATACTTTATAAAACATGTAGGCCTACATTAATTGTTCACACCATCGATGTAGGGCCTATAATAACTTAACTCTACTGGATAGCGCTGTGTGGTGGAAAAACTACCGTGCCCGCCAATCGAATTGGCGGGATACCGAGGCGGACGGGCCGAATGAACCTCTCTGTTTTACACAAACATACATTCACTCAACCTACTCTGCTACACTTTTTGTTAAAATAAAAACTTCAAATTGATATATTATTTTTCTGGAAAAACCAGTGCTCATTACTATCTAGCTAGTTTTTACCTTAACATATTTTTTATAATTTATTTAGGCAAATTAAAACAGATGATTGTTTTTTAACACCATTAAAAACATGAAAAATGTAGTAAGCGAGGAACTTTTTTATTTATGGTGCAGGAAAAAATTCCTGCGGCAAAGTTTTAGATCAAAGTATGAATTTTATTTTTTATTTGAAGCTTTTTTTGATACGGAGCGCTTGTATAATTTTTAAGTGATTAAAAATAAAATCGCTTGGCGCGGCATTGGCGCTAGGAGCTCGGCCGGCTCAGCATCAGTTTACAGGATATAGAAACTGAGTTTCTAGCATTCAATTATCATTAGGCTATATATTACATCAAATACCCGTCATTACATTACGAAGAATGGTAACTAAATTTAAAGGCGTATGTTTATGCATTTTAATGCTTACCGGTAGTCTATTGTTAGCAAAATTCTTTGAATCAAAGAATAAATGTTGGATTTCACAGTAGTATTTAATACCTAAGAAAGTTTTGTTATTATTTTACCTCGGTGAGAATAATGAATACATTTGAGATATTGGCATTAAATAATAGGTATAGCCTAACTTACACTCATTTTATTTAGCAACATAATATGTTTTCCAAACACGTTTATCACAGTATGACAAAGAAACATACTATAATATAAACAAAATATATATTCTTAAATGACGCAAAGTGTCTCAATAATAATTGGACCTCACCGAAGCAAATGATGACATGCATATGTGATCAAATAATTATTGTGATATACTTTGCTCTGGTTAATGTTCAAATATAAATAAATCTAACTCTTTTATATCACCACTACATTTCTTATGAGATTTACTATTGACACATAGTCTATAAAGTTTGAGCAAGTACGTAGATTAATTATATCTGCTTATAAAACCTCCTTAAGTTTGTTACAATCAATTATCCTCGGGATATTTCCACAAAACTAACATAGCAATACACGGCGAGAGCGGGTGCGACGCTCGGCACTAGGGTGAGTCATGCCTTTATCCCCACTCCTTGCGGACAGAGCGAGGTAGCGACGGACCGTTTTTCGAGCCCTACTTCAACCTGAGCGCGCAATCCGGGGAGTTATTATACATCGATGGTTCACACTTAGTCCCATTTGCGTGTTCAATTGGGCTTATCAATGACCAAAAACACTACGGTAACTTCTCAAGTTCATATGCATGACTCTCAAAAACATCATAATATGCAATTTCTTTTTAAAGTAATGATCTTTAATAACTGTTCCCTGGCCTTCTTCAAGAAACCAGGCTTGTATGACAAGTGCAATTGGAAATTATATTAATTATACAAGTGCAATATACAGTACAATAAAATTTTACGTTTGCAAGTACAGTACAACTTTTACACAATTGGAGAAAGTCAGCTGAGTAAAGTGTGTAAAGTATATCAAACTTTTTTATTTTGGGTGTTGTATGTGTTTATTGTAATATTGTAATATATATTTTAATGTTTTTAACCATTGTTAAACCTAACTGAACAAGCAAATAGGCCTAAATGTGAACAATAAATGTACATGTTTTATAAAGTATGTTTTTTTTTTTCAGACAACAAAATGGATTTGAAGAGAGAAAAAGAACTCAGATTCGTCGAAACAAAGATAATTTAGATAATCTCTTGTATAATAATTTAAACCACAGCTAAAAGATTTTAAGTTTCTATCACACTATAAAGCACAAATGAAAGTAAGTAATTCACTCTGTAAGAATTGACTTAAATCTGTACAACTGTTATGTGTAGGATGTGATATTATTTGATAAACAATATAAAAAAAAACATAATATTTTGTTAAATGATTATGCAGGCTTAACATAATATGATGGCATGTATTCAATATGATGGAACATAAAAGACAAGCAAACGAAGAAAAACACTCCTGGTTGGCTATGCTGTTTGGTATTTAATACACATAACAAAACTTGATTAAAGACATTTTAAAGTTGAATGATATAATCCATAACTGTTTTGAACATTCAAAAAATTTTCCATCAAGACAGTTATTTAAATAGAGCTGACTGACTAATTCAAAATTACCTACTATCTTGTCTGATGAGTTGAAAGAAAATAAAAAAAATGTTTAAAATCACCAAAAAAAATCCTCATAAGTGTCCAATATGTAAAAAGATGTTTTCAATAAAACTGGAAATGAAAAATCATATATATGTACATACAGGCGAACGTCCTTTTAAATGTTCATCATGTGAGAAAACATTTATTAAAATATATCTAGTAAGGTGTCATTTGTTGACACATTCTAAAAAGTATCTGTATAAGTGTACTACATGTGGAAAATCCTTCAAACGACTCAGCCAGATGAACGAGCATACAAATATTGTTCATACTGAAGAAAGACCTCATTTGTGTCCTATATGTGGAAAATCCTTCAAATCCAATAGAACAATGAAACAACATACATTGGTCCACACCGCAGAGCGACCTCATAAGTGCACTACATGTGGAAAATCCTTCAAATCCAATAGAACAATGAAACAACATGCAGTGGTCCACATTGCAGAGCGACCTCATAAGTGCACTATATGTGGAAAATCCTTCAAAAAACTCGGGAATATGAAAGAGCATACAACTGTTCATACTGAAGAACGACCTCATTTGTGTCCTAAATGTGGAAAATCCTTCAAAACCATTAGAGCAATGAAAGAACATACATTGGTTCACACTAGAGAGTGACCTCATAAGTGTACTACATGTGGAGAATTGAACTACAGGCTCTTGAGGATTGTTGATAAAAGCCCGATGTACATTTTGCCCATGTTTTGCATTATCAGGAGCAGAGGTTGTTTTTATATCAGTTTAAACACTAAACACATGACTCTAAGGTATTTATTTACATTATTGGTTGGTTGATGATTTGTCGCCCTGGCACAGGAATCCGTGCATGAGGGAACTGGAAACGTTACATAGCCTCTTAATATTTAAGAGTATTCAACCCTTACCGTCATCCTTCTGATTTTTTCACCCTGAAATATGTGCGTAGTTACGTAGCTTTTGCACCTGACGCAAAGAACTATAACATACACTGGTGATTCACTGCTAAACTGATAATTATTTGTTTCATTCTCTAAATTCAACATAGAAGAAGCAAATTTCTCTTCTCTAAATAGCACCAGAAAATTTCTAATTAGATTGTCAAGTCACAGAGTTTACTCATTGTGGTCAATTCCTGAAATCACAGCAACACCTTGACCAATCAAGACTTCACAACCACCCCACAATCATGGTGACTACATCCCCGGAACCACTGCGATGGTTTTGATATCACATGCAATCACGGCAATGACGGGATCATTTATGAATACTGAACATATAGTAGTTCTTCCTAAAGTGTGATTTACGTGAAGATATGGCAAACAGTGATTCAAGCTGAATTTGATTTCTTATCATTAAAATAAAAAGTTAAAATTTCCCAAATAGAAAATGTAGGTATAATACACAAGACTTTTTCCCGGCCCTGGTTCATACTGAAAAAGTCCTTATAAGAGCATTGCAGAAAATTCTTGTTATCCATTACTTATTATAATAGACATGTATTCAATTATATCACTGTGCTTCCTTATCATTTTAATACAGGAACATGTAGCATACATTGGTTGATGCCCGAGTGTAAAGTTAGAGTGACTTATATTCGTAAAAGTGTTGATTCAATAGTGAGAGGGCACCAGTGAATGACCGTTTATGATTGAGTTTCCAATTGTATCCAGTACTGTATGGGGAAATATGCTATTAGTACCGTTTAGGGAATAGTTTACATGTATTGCTTGTGTTCTCCTGTACTTTGTAATGATAAAACATTTGTATTAGGTGTATGTTAAAACAAAGTGTAGACCACACTTTACTACACATGATCATTGAATCAGTGAATGACCGCATATCATATACAATTTTAAAATTGTCTTAACACCCTCCTTTTTACGAATTATAACCCTTTCAAGATAATTACATAAGATGAGCACCTTGTATACAATATGTAATAAAAATTTCAGTATCATTAAAGTAAATATTCTAGTGATTAACCACTTTTCATCTAGTAAATTATTGTAACCCGTAAAGCGCGGTCATATTATGATTATAGTGTATTGACACATGATTTCTGATAAGATTTTGGGTTTCCTAGCAAATAATCCATAAAGAAAACATTGTTTTCGAGAACTTTGAAAGAAAATTGATCCAAATCTAGTTAATGAAGAAACGACCATTCACTGGTTAGCTAATCAGAGTGTTGTCCAGTAAATGACCGACTGCTTAAGCAATTGTAGGTTTTTATTTTAAATTGAGTACTTGATCTTAGATATTTCGTTTAAACGGTCTGTTGGATGGTAAAGTGAACAATGTATTTTAAGAGTAAATTAATTGTAAAATTGTTTCAATATTTTAGTGAAAATAGTTGATGAGTAAAACAACACATATTCACAGAAATGCTTTTCATAAAGTGCGTCCTAGAATACGGCAGTTCTACACAAAAGAAAATATAAAATCGTAAATTTTTAGGCCTAATGAGAATAACATGTGTTTACGGTCTTGCAAATCTTTCCAATTCCGTTTTGAAATAGGTATAGTCTGTTGGTGTAAGCCCCGGAACTCTCTTTCAGAATCAATCGTCTTAGTAGATCTTCGTATGCTTGATTAAAGTCGAGCTTTACTCTAATTTTTATGTTCGGTTTGTACAGTATTGCTTGGTTATCATGAACTGTTGGTTCTCCCATCTTATTCCCTGGTTGATTCAATTAATATGCCTTTAAATTTTTACTTAAAAGAGTTAGAAAAAAGAGTAGTTCAGGTAATGTAATTCATATGGGGATGGTTTCAATTGCGCTGGCTAATTGAAGACGTGTATTACAATAGATAGCATTTCTATTTTGGTAGCTAAGACACAAAGTATTTGATTTTTTACCTTAGTCAGCCTTATGGCATCTCTCTATGTAAATGTTGTACAACTGAGCCATTGAGGTAAATACAGGCTCCGGGTAGAACGAGTGGTTGTTTTCTTACTGTAATGAGAGGGTAATTTGGCCAAAGAAGTTGAAAACTTTTGCAAAAATTCACATGACTCCTTCTATTTTGTCACCTTTGCTTGCGAGCTTCATGTCAGGCATGCACACCAGAGAGTTCTCTAAAAAATGTTACGAGGATGATTTGTTCAAACAATTACAATACCATGAATGTTGATGTTGTAGATACCACAGAGAGGATTTTAATTAGCCTATTTTAAAAGAGTTAAAACTTGTGACAACTCTCTTCTTATGTTGATTGAATTAGTTGACACAATAATTTTTACAATTTTAATGGTGCAGAATAAACAGCAGTTGCACTCCAGGGCATATAAATACTCTTAAGATCTATATAATAAATACGCTACACAAAAGTTTGTCGGTTGAACTCCTCCGCCATTTCTTAACCGATTTTATCCATTGACGTCTCATTGGAAAGAGCGTGTCGCGTAGATTTGCAAACTGACCTTACATTTTTGAAAAAGTCCCTTGGGCTCTGCCCCAGTGGCTTTGAAAGTTCCCATGTTATCCTTATGAAGAACATAATTGTTTACATTTTGATCAGCTGTATAATTTTATTGCTGTTATTTACTTTTTAATTCAATGAAACACATTGAGTACATTTATTTACTATTTGAGTTTGTGTAAACATAACCCCCAAGACGGATCGTGTTAGTATGGTTGTATCTTAAATTTGTGTATTTATCGTTGTTTTGTGTCGCTATGATGGATTGTGTTAGCATGATTGTAACTTAAATTTGTGCATTTATCGTTGTTTTGTGTAGCTATAATTTGTTTATTATTTGTTGTTTATTCCTTATGTCTCTGACGCAACGACAACGAAACATAGACAGGAAGCGCAATCGTTATAACGACCGCAGCAGAACAGTGGCGCGTAAAAGGCTTAACTCATCACAGTCTGAACCTGGACCTGGACACTATTAGGTTACAAATGCGCCCTAACACTACCCCAAAACGACTTTTCGTTCTCAATTTGCCCTCTATTAATGACCTGTGTTGCCTGGACAGTGAGGCATTTTGAGAAGGAGAGAACCGTCCGGAATGCTTTAGGTTTATCAATAACGAAGATAAACAGGGTCTGAGTTACACAACGGTAATATTTGAGTTGATCTTTTAAACTCATTGTAAATATGACTGTTATTCCATCTGAAATAACTCCTGTAATACTTTGTTATTGCTCGAATTCGAGCAACATGTACACTAGTTTGAAATAATTATATAAGGTAATAAATTTTATAAGTACAAATCTTCATTGTAAGTTAGTTAATTTCATGTTGTTATACACCTATTATTTGTATCTTTGACTGTGTACTTATTTAGTTGTATTTTTTTAAATTTACATATGGCAACTGAAACTCTTTATGTAATGTCAGAGTACTTACCAGGGCTATTTATTATCTAAGGGTCTATTGCCTTTATTTTAAAAGCCAGTAATGTTAAGCTTTTTAACTTTCCCATTTTATGTAAATATCAATAAATGTATTATATTATTTTTGAGTATTAAATTGTCCTCACTCAGTATCTTGACTGGCAATTACAGCATTGTGGTAAAGCTCATCACTCTAAAGCTCCCCACAGCAGGTTGAGCATGTTGGGTTGGAAGTCAGGTTGGAGTTGGGAGGCAAAGCAATTTGGTACTTTGTCAGTTGTAAAATGAA